AAAGACAGGGATTTTTTTTTTTTAACTTAAATCCGTTGATCAAATATTTCAAAACTTCAGATAAACTGTTGAGTGATCCAATTTCAACCCTGCTTTCAACTTAACTATTATCATCTAAAATAATTTCATACTATACCATCTTATAATATTATATTAGAAATAAAGCAACGCTCTTGTTGACAGCATATAAGTGCACCTGGCAATGCTCACCTCTTCATCTAAAGGATACAAAATAATATTTCCATAAGCAGTAAAGTTACTTGCCCGAATATTTTACTATACAATTTACAGAATTATAACAGGTATCACTGCTCTTCATCACCCACCTTCTTCTTAATAACCTTCTTGTCCTTCTAGCTACTAGCCTTCACTGTTCATCATAAATTGGGGGTGAGATTCGAAGAATCCCCGTAGTAATAATTTCCATCAAACAAATGTGCAGATCACATAAACATGCAAAACAAGCCATATGGAACAAAACCTTGCAAGCTAATGCATTAAGCATTTATGCGCTATGACAGATAGACAAGCTGAATAAATAATGCGCAAATAATAGCAATCACTGCCGCGCGCATATAATTGGCAATCACTGCCCATGTCTGTTAGACAAGCTGATAATAATGCGCAAATAATAGGCAATCACTGCCGCGCATATAATTGGCATCAATGCCCCATGTCGGTTAGACAAGCTGAATAAGTAAAGCGCAAATAATTGGCAATCACTGCCCCATGTCTATCAGCTGCACGTGATCACGGCTAAAAATCCATGCAGGAATTAAGGATTACATGTTCTCATGCTTTTTGAATAGCAATATGGCACAACCAGACATGCAGCAATCATACACAAGTGTAAGGAGGAAAGAACTACTACCTGGTCCGCATCCCTCCAAATCAAACCTTACCGTTCTCCTTTCTTTCTGCTTCTAGGTGGGCTTGAGCAGATATAAAAACCTATCATATTAGTAAGGGTAGATCAGTACTTGATCCAACTGTATCTCATAAATTAAATAACTCTTTAAATCCCAAATCTTCTTTAATCTCTACCCTTACGTAGCAGTTGATCATCCTGGATTGTTTTTCTTATTCAACTATTCTCTTTGGAATTCCTTCCTTGTCTCAACCCATACAGTTACTTTACTTAGTAACTGGTCATCTTGGTCAAATATATTATCTTTAATTATTGCATTTAAGGGTAACTCCGTATCCCCAATTCCAAATTCAGTTCCACTATTAAGTGGATGGTAACATGGAAAAAGTAAAGACACACATATATACTTATCCTTATTCACCTCAAGTTCTTTTACGTAATGCTCTATTAAATTCATTTAAATTCATCAATTGAACCTCAAGATAAATCTTTTACGTACACCTTTCAATATAACAACCTCAAATCAACAATATGAAATCTCTTTTTAAATAACTTAAAACCATAACTGATTATAAACCATATTTTTAATCCCTTATTCTCCTTCTAATTCCATTCTTAATCTCTTTATAATTCGAACACCAAAACCAATGTGACATCAATAATTCAAGCTTGTCATCCTCTCTTGATTTCTCATTTTCTCTCTCCCATAAGCTTCTAATCACAAATCAAGTTTAATTCTTTCTCTGTTTCAGAACATCCATTTTCCCCTTAATCCATTGGCCAACATCATCCCAAAATTTCAAACCTAGCTTTTAATTTAATAATTAATTTGTTTTCCTAACCACGACACGCCTAAGATATTCAAATTAACAAACTCTTCTAATATTAAAATGCCATAATCATATTTAGTTAAAATTGATCTCTTTCCAACTTCTATTCTCAATCAATCTTATCCTTAAAACTTAAACCCCAACCTTGAAACACCTTATTCAATTCCTAATTTTAAATCTGAAAATTTTTATAAATTTTATTACCTCTTCAATTCTCAATCTAGATTCATTCTAAATTATCTTCTAATGCTTAATTAACGCCATCAACCTTTTAAGTCATTTAAATCTGTGTTTCAATCTTTAACCACACAAAGCCTCAACTAATCCATTCAGCCCAATTGTCCACACAAAACAGCAACCGAGCAACCTTAATATAATTATATTAACTCTAACATTCCACTTATCTCCTTAATCTCCATGAATTCGAGTCGCATGAGCCCGGCAAACATAGAGGTATTTATACATATATAAAACCCAAAAACTCCAAATGCTCCTATATGAAAAATCTGGAAATTTTCTAGATTCAATGTCATTAACTTCCAGCTCCATGATCAGTACACAAGCACTCGAATATGTGTGTCTATATATATCAATTTAAATCCCCAGCACTGCACCCAAACTTTCTCTTCATTATCTCATTAAACCAGAGCCATTTCCCTAAGCCATTAACCCCTGTTTCGGACACTAAGAAGCAGAGAAGAAGAGCAACATCCAACAGCAAAATCTTCCCTGTTTCAGCCTTGAAGAACCAGAGCAAAAATCAACATATGCAATGAGAAATTTTAAGCTACATTCCCTCCTTCAAGATTCAGAGAATCTGACACCAATCTCTGAAAGTTTTAACCAAGTTTTGATAGTGAATATCTCTAAACAATCAAGCAACATAAATAAAAGATTCAGTAACCCAAACCATAAAGTTGAAACGTGAAGCCCCTGTTTCAATGTCACAACCAGTCGGTCCTCAACATGCAGAAATCATTAACAACTTGCAACATCTCAACTCACCCGAACATGCATCCATCAACCATCAACTACCCTTAATTCATTAAGATACCCATTTTCCTCCGTAACTAAAGGCTTTTACATATCTTCAACTCTTCAACAGCATGTAGAATAGAAGAAAGAAGGGTATGAGAGTGTTAATCGGTCTTACCTTATCCAGAATCACGGAGTGCATGTGAATAAACAACCTCCGATCACCATCTCGCTGGTAGCTTCTTCTGCGTCGACTTACTGTTTCTCTCGTTCTCACTCAGCGTTTGCGAAATGAACTGGGGCAGAACATGAATTCTGATGGTTATAAGGGTGGAGCAACACGTGCGGGCTGTGCACATGAGACAATGGACCATTTTGCCTTTAATTATTCCTTATTTCTTATTCCCCCTTCCACATAATTTCCTGAATTTGTGAATCCAAAAATTAATCCATAGTATTTTATATGGATTTTCCTTATCCATTAGCTTCTTTGACCCATGAAATAATGTCCATAAAAAGTTCGGGTCAAAAATAATCTCCTACCTATTTTTCTTGAATTGTGGAAGAAAATAGCCCTTAAATCCAGAAATTAATCCTTAACCCATTTTAAGGATTTTATGCCTCAAATAAATTCTCTACATCATAAGATAATTTCCCTAAAATTTTCTAGTTAATTAGAAATCTCTAAGTATTTTTCCATAATTTTCAGAGAAAATAAACCATTTTTCTCTTAAAATTATCTATTAAAATTTTTAAGCCATTTTTGGGAAATACCTTTTCCAAATGTCTCTAAACCCTAAAAATCATTATTCCATAATTTTCCCCTTTATTTGGCAAATAAATAATTTTAATAAATTTTTTTCTCTTTTCTACTCATCTTAAATCATAAAATTCGGGTGTTACAGATTAAGCTTTGTATGAATCAAAACAAGCAAAGATTAAATAGAGTTTTATGCATGATATTATAGTTTGGTCTTTAAAGTGTAGACATTATATCTTTAATGGTACTTTTTTGAAGATAATTAATGAAATAGACAGATAATTACATATTGCTTAGTTTTATCTGTAATGCATCTATTATGAGCACAACTCTTTCATCATAACAACTATATCATATGTATGACCTTCAAAGTTGAACCACACAATCCTTGTAAATGAGTTTATTCATCAATTACAACATCATTTGAAAGCATAATATGATTAAAAGAGAGATAAATCACTTATCTTCTACAAACACCAACCTTCCAATGCAAATCTGGCCTAGTTTGCTTTCACCAGCAGCAACGGTATTGCAGTTTATACCACATGCGATCAATGAATTGGAAATAAGCATACTTCCATGAACTACTATAGAGCAAAGGACCCACAACTGCCCAAAACCCCACAATAAATCCAAATGCCATGCTGACAAAGAACCAATTGATTCCTTTCACATGATGGACTTCTTCTTCTTTGTTACTAGAGCTGTTTGATGAACAATTATTGAGTGGAGGACCACATAAATCATAATTGCCAACAAAACTTGATGCTTCAAAGCTTTGTATTTGGGTCCCTGTTGGAATTTTTCCCATCAAATTATTGTAAGACAAGTCAGCATGCTCAGAAAGCTCAATTTCGACATGCTTGGCGGGATTTCACCTGTAAGATGGTTTCTTGAGAAGTCCATAGTCTCCAGTGATTTCATATTGCCAATATTTGAGGAATTTGGCCAACAAAATGATTTATTTGAAAGGTTCAAAAAATGTAGTCCCTTAAGTCTTGTAAGTTCTGTTGGTATCTCTCCATATAATTCATTGTTTGACAAGTCGATACTAGTGATGAGACCAAGGTTGGAGCTGTAATCATAAACCCTTTCTTTCAACAATAATGGTTCAACTACCAATTGAAGATCATATACTTCTGTGAGAGAAATGTATGAATTTAAACTATTATTTATTACCAACATGGCACTCAAATGGTTGACACAATTTGGAATATATCCTGTTAACTCGTTATGCGCGAGGTCCAAGATTTGTAAGACACTCATGTGGCAAATTTGATGAGGAATTGGACCATTGGAGGTTTTCAACATATCCGAGATGAAGATTGATTAGATTTGAGAGGTTTCCAATTTGACGGGGGGTGCTTCCACCAAACTGATTATCTCCAAGATCAAGATATTGCAAATTGGAGAGATTTCCAATTTGACGAGGAATGCTTAGACTAGATTCAATACCTCCGAGATCAAGATATTGCAAATTGGAGAGCTTTCCAATTTGATGAGGAATGCTTCCTTCCAAATAATTGCCTCCAAGGTCAAGATAGATCAGATTGGAAAGATTCCAAAATTGAAGAGGAATGCTTCCACCAAACCCAGCATGAGATAGGTTAAGATACGTCAAGCTTTTCATTGAGCCAAGAAAACCAGGTATTTGCATGCCTCCAAAATAATTACTGCTCAAATCCAAATAATTCAAATGCTTCAAGTCAAGCAAGGAAGAATGTACCTCACCACCAAACATTAATGTCTCATGCAAATCATCGCCGCCAAACTGTAAAGGAGGTGGAGTCGTGAGGTGGAGCTCAAGAACATGGCCTATGATGTTGTGGCAAACAACTGAAACCCAGCTGCAGCAATTTGCATGGAGAGACCAAGAGGTTAGCCTGTTTGAAGGATCTGAGAGATGACTCTTCATCTTAAGTAAGGCATCTCGCTCACTTGGAAGGCACTGAACCTCATAAGATGTTCTGCAAATGCATAAATCAACATTTGATAAGGTAAGTAACCAAAGAAAAACAACCACGACGATATTGCAAGAACCATCCATGACTACGTCAACCAAAGAGGTTTTTGCTAACAATTTTTTTGTGCTTTGATGGACATGCAACTCTCGGAGAAGAGAGTAGCTAGTATTTATAATGTCACTTTCGATTTTTGTTTTAATACATCGAAAAACTTTTCTTTTTACCTTCATTTTTCACCATGTAAGGAGTTTATTTTAAGGATAACTTTTTTATGTGCTATAAAAGATTTTCAAATATCCTTTATTAAACCCTTTTATTTTAAAGAGTGCTAAAATAAAAAGAATTTAATACACATTTAAATAACTTGCTGAAATAATTCTTTTATTCTCTTTTTATTATATGAAGATATTAAAATCATCAATGACAATAAAGGTATTGAGGTAAACGTGCGTGTTCTAAGGTTCAAAGAAAACAAAACTAGAACGTTCCACAGTTGTCCCCCTTTTTTTGGGACCGGTAAGTCTACCCTTGTGCTGGTCAACTACGGTATGTACTTTTTTTAAGTTGCAAAAAAAAAAGTTTTAAAATAAAATTACTCAGAGGCTTAAAGAACATGAATTTTATTGCAGAAAGTTGCTGGTTATTTATCTATAGTGCCATGACTGTTTTCTTGCAGAACGGTTTTGCTTTTTTTTTTTTTTTAAAATAATGCATAAATTAAGAAAATACGAAAAACTCTAAATAATTGTTTTTGAAGCCACGTGATCGTTATTATGTATTAGCGGTTACAATATTTTTTCCATGAATATTGGTGGTTAGAAAAATGGCCCATCATTTAATTGAGCGATATGAATGGGTCCTTTGTTATTTTCTAACCTGCCGCGTTGTTCAAGTTGGGTTCTACCTATAGAATACGTCTTGTAATGCAAAAATTTAGTAATGAATAAGAGAAATAAAGATAAAAATATAAGAAATTTTATTTATATAATTTTGCATGTATTGAAAAGGAAAATTAATTTCATCCATCGAGTCCACATAGTTATTTTTTTCTTGTAAACCTTCTATACGTAAGAGTAACAAATAAATCCTTCACACACACACACACAAGGTGTTTAATTTTTTCCTTGTTACAAAGGATGATCAAATTATGTAGTCAATCCTTTCTATTTTACAAATGTCAGAATATAAACAATTTCAACATAACATTGTTTTTCTAGGCACAAACATTTTCCTATCGAAAGTAATTATGTTCAAGGTATTATCATATATTAAATATGAATACATCTCTTAACAGAAATTAGAATCTTAGTTTGCCGTATCGTAAGAAACTAGCCCCTTCTGCTAAATCTAACTAATATTTAATTAAATCACCAAAAGAATTATTTTGTCAAAAGTGATGGAATTAACGTTGAAGATAGAAAATTATTGTGGGCCATTCTATCCATATTTGTTTGTATGGAGTTGATTAGAGACTAGTCAAGATAAAAGAAAATAAAATGGATAGGATAATGATGAAAAAAAATTAATTAATGTGGTCATTCTATAGGTGTTTGCATATAAGTTGATTGTTATAGACTAATAGACAACCACATGATTAGTAGCAACGTGTGGAATGGGATTCCAACTTCTTGCTATTATTTTTGTCCCTAGCTATTATTAATTTAATAATTTTTCCATACAATAACAGTTTATGAAAGAGACTATTTTTATTTGGAGAAAATAAATTGCTAATGTATTTGCTGTGGAAAATTATGTTTTGTAGTTATAAGTCTTTCATAATTGAATTCACATTAAGAGATATTCACATTTAGTATCTATCATGTTTCAAATAGGAATGTTTCTAGTAAGAAGATACTTATACGTATAAAGTGGGAAAATTTTCGTAATTGAGTTATTATGTTTGCGCGTGTTGAAATCGCAAATTATAGCCGAGATGATTCTTAAATCATAATTCAACTTTTTTTTTTATGTCTTTCATTATTGACTTAATGTTGTTGTCCGTCAACTACGACAAACATATAGATACAATCATCAAATTCATAAGATTACATCCAACCACCATAGTTTTTCAAATTTTGCTATAAAAAAAACTTTAAAGTTCTAAATTACTCAAAAGGATAAAAATGACTTGAATGAATTTTTTTATGATTGGATAAATAATATGTGCTCCCAACAATTTGTTTTCCCTAGAAAGTTGTGGCATAGATTGTGGAGCTACAAGGAATATTTAAATTAAAATTATTGCTGTCGGATTTCAGTTATTTTATTATATATATATATATATATAAAATTTGTTCTGGAGAACCAAAAAAAGAACATTTTCTAATGATATAATTATCTCCCAATTGATAATGCACGCTCAAGTTATATAATATACTCCCTCTGGTCCATAATATAAGATCCAATTGATTAATTTAGAGAGATTAAGAAAGTTATTCAATTACTTAATTATAACATACATTACACAATCTCTCTGAAATGTTTACATGTATTATTAGATTATATATATCAATTTATAAGAGTGAAAAAATAGTTTAGAAAAAAGATAAAGATAATACTTTAAGATAATTTTTTTTTAATCTCTTCAAATAAGTTGACTAAATTTTATATTAAGAAGTGGAAGATAATAAAAAAGTTATAACCCAAGCTGTTTCAAGTTAGAGTAATGGCCCATCATCTCATTAATTGATATGGATGGACGTTCTCTATTACTCCTCTGGTCCTATTATAGGGCAGAGAGAGAGGTTTTTTTTGGTCCTATTTATAGTCACCTCATTAACTTTTTACTATGACTTTACCATGTTGTCCTTCATTTATTATAATGTAGATAGTTACTTTTTTGAAAAAGGTATATATTAAATAGGGGTAAAGTTGGAAAGTTGCTATATTTTAATGAGGAGTTAATGCAGTTTAAGGATTTTTCTTGGTCTGTGTGAAACTTGTTGGAAGTGCCTTATAAATAGGACCAGAGTATTTTCTAACTTGCCGTGTTTTAGGTTGGAGAGTGCCTATTGAATACGTCTTGTTTTGTAAAAAAGTAAGTCATCTAATTAATGAACAAGAGAATTTTTTATCTTGAAAAGGAAATTTAATTTATTTTCATCCATCAAGTCCAACCTATTTCTCGCTTGAAAATCTTCCAAGTATGAGTAACAAGCAAACCCTATCTATATTTAAGGAAACATGTGTTTGAGGGGTGTTCAAATTATTTAATTAATACTTTATGTTCAGAATATCGCCAAAGTATAAATAATTTCAACATCACATCTAAGTACCTCGCCAACATATAATTCTATTTCCACTATTATCTTAAGCACATTACAATTATCAATATTCAATGTAGTAATAAAATGTATCAGAATTGCACTATTTATAAGAAAAAGAAATGAAAAAGAAAGTGATAGGAAAATGGTGAATATTGAAAATTCTTGTCGTGGTCCATCCTATATACATATTGTTTCCAAAGTTGACTACGGGCTAATTAACAACCATATGTGACTTTGGTCCCAACTTTCAATTTTCTACATTTGAATAACTAATAAAAGAGACTATTCATTGTTTGGCCGGAGAAAAAGTTGTTCTAGTATTTTCTTCGGTCCATAATACAAGTCATTTTAACTAATTCGTTAAAATAAAAAAAAAAATAGTTAACTCATTAAATTTGTTTCAAATTGAATTTTTTTTTTCAACTTTACCTATGTTAAATGAGATTGTGTGAAGAAGAGAGGAAAATATATAAAAGTTACATTTAAGCATTAATTGTAAGGATAAAATTAACAATAAGCATATTAATTACTCTCCAAGTGATTTATATTTTTGGACCAAACAATTCTCTACAAGAGACTTATATTGTGGATTGGAGAAAGTATGCATGCGGAAAATTCTTTTATTATTGAGCGTATTAAAAAAGGCAATGTATTCACTTTTATTCAAGTCTTTCACCATCGACTTTATACTCCTATACCCCCCAAGAACGCAAAGATATACATATAATAAAGTCTCTCGAAAAAGAAAATAGAAGTGATAGGATAAGACAACAAAGAAAATTAATGTGTTCATTTTATAGGTGTTTGGATGTAAGTTGATTATAGACTAATAAACAACCACATTATCAGTCTCAACGTGTGGAATGGGATTCCAACTTTTTTGCTACTATTTGTCCCGACTTTTAAATTTTCCACCCAAGGAATAATAGTTCATGAAAGAAACTATTCAATATTGTTTGGAGAAAATAAATAGTTAATATGTGTTCTGGAAAATTATGTTTTTTGTGGTTATAATCTAGCTTTCCATACCACATTCTTATTAAGAGATATGCTCGTGTTTAATATTTGGCCATACCCAAAACATAATTACTTCCAATAAAAAGATATATACCTATGCATATAACATAAAAAAAGACAAATTGCAAGGTATGTCCCTTAAGGTTAAGGAGATGCCCTTTATCCCTAATACAGGAGCCAACTCAGCTCGGGGACTGGGGTTACAGACTACTTCTCTAGTCTTGTTTATAAGGTAAAAAGAGAAGATTTTTCTTGGTCCTATTTATAAATTACTTCATTCAATCTTTTGTGCGGATTTACAATTTTATCATTCATTTATTAAAATATTGTTTTTTTAAAAGTGTGTGTATTAAATAGGGGTCAAGTTAGAAAGTTGTTGTATTTTAATAGAAAATTAATACAGTTTAAAATCTTTCTTAATCTGCGTAAAATATACTCAAAATACCTTTAAAATTGCAAAGTTACTTCTTAAGTCACAGTAATTCAAACAATTTTGGTAAGTCTTTCATTGTTGATTTATTGCTCTTGTGCCCGTCAACTACGGCTAACTTATCATGAGGTTACTAAAAAGCTTTAAGAGTTCAAATTAGTCAAAATTAAAGGATAAAAAACTTGAATGAGTTTTGTTGTGGTTGGATAAATAAATAATGTATGCTTCCAGCCAATGTTATTAAACTCAAATCTAAAAAACACGTGACAGGAATGTAAACTTGTAAAACTTTGCTATTAAGAATAAGTAATTATTAAACATATATAATAAAATAATTAAACTGTAAAAATGACTACAATGTTATTTGGAT